AAAAAAAAAAAAAAAGAAAGAAAAACTACAAATGGCATTTAAACAGATGAACAGATTCAATTTTACTCATGATCTTTAAAACACCCGTGTGTATATGAAAACAAACAAAAAAAAGAACCTTATTCATCTTTGTGAAATATGTGTCACTTCACCTGTGATAATAGAGTGAGGGAAAAAGAGTCTAAATTGGAACAACCTTTCTCCATGGCTGGTGTGCTTCTATTGAAATTCAGATGCATGTGCCCTTTGACCTAGCTGTTCTACTCCTGAGACTGTTCTATAGCTGACCTTGAGCGATTATGTAAATATGTACATGTTGAAGCTGTTCCTCACCAAATGGTTAGGAAATACGCATCAGTGGGGGACAAGTTAAGTAAATTCTTATGTGGCCCAGTGAAAAGACAAGTTATTGATAGATCCATCTGTATGTGCTTATGTTGGGTCACTGCCTTTATTAAGCTGTAAGGGACAGAAAATCCAATTCTAAATGACTAGAACAATAATAAAAATTATTAGCTGACATTTCCAGGTAGGGTGATTCTTCAGTCATTTCAAGGGTCTCTGTAATATTAACCAAGGATGAGTAAAACCGACCCTGCCCCTCATCATTTTCTACTTGCTACCCTCAGTATATTAGCAGCTCTCTCCTCAGATTAGGTCCCCTACTTGCCACCATTGCAGGATGGCTGAGGTGGCTCCAGGCAGTGTTTCCAGTGGAGGATTAACAAATTTGCTCCTTTGCGTGGTTAAAGAACATGGAAGCTGGGCACACCTGTGGCTCAAAGGAATAGGGTGCCAGCCCCATATACTTGAGGTGGCAGGTTCAAACCCAGCCCCAGCCAAAAACTGCAAAAAAAAAAAAAAAAAAGAACATGGAAGCTGGTCCTCAAACCTCTTTACCAGCTGTCATCACTAAAAGCTCAGTGGCTACAATTGTTCACATGCTGGGGCCTGAATCAACCACCAGAGAGAGGGTTAGGACCACCATGATTGCCCAGATCCGAAGGATTGGGGGGGCCTGCTGTCCTGGAAGCACTTAGCAGTGTGGAAGGATGGATGCCTACCAATTTGGAAAGGTGAAGTTCTGTTACAGAATAAATAAAGCAAGATGTAAAACAGCTTTAAATAAAAAGAAATGGAATATGTGTGTGTTTGTGTTTGTGATAAATACGAACACATAAATTATATAACAGTGTAATGTTAGTTGTAAGGAGGAACTTGTTTTCTTAAAATTTACAGCCAAGGCCCAGAGCTGAATACAAAAAGTGTTAAGAATCTCCTCCTTGAGGTCCCTGGGACTGGCACCTTCCTGAAGGACTCCTTCCCTGGAGAACTTCTGAAGAGCTGACGATAGCACTCTCTACCATCCTAGTACAACTGCAGGGGAGGTTATGGAAGGTATCTCCCTTTGGTTTGGGGGGCTGCAGGAAAGGAAGGCTGAGATCAGTTCCCCAAGTGGACTACTGAACATGGACTTGACCTGTGAGATCAAAAGGGAAATTATTGGAGAGACTAGCAAGATGGTATAACCAGGGGGTCAAAGAAGGGACAGAGACTGGAACCCAATAGATGCTGCTTCTGCAAAGATGCAGGAGGTGAATCCTGCATGTGTCTCTAAGCTCCAGCCTAGGAGGCTTTGGCAGGCAGGTAACATTCACAAGCTATAGGTTTGGGGGATCATCATGGCAGAATGCAAAGGGAAACATGCTGCAGAGGCAGCTCCCTGGAGGTCAGTCAGAGGATGAAGATAGAACTCTTCAGGGGACAGATGATACGAGAGGATCTGGGTGCCAGGGAGATCACACCCAAGGAGAGGCTGTCAGTTTGCTCCTGCCAGCTACTTGACCTGTGTTCCTCTCCTTTCTCCTCCCTCCCAACAAAGGGGATGGGGCAGGTGTCTCCTACTCCATGGGTTCTTTGAATCAGTGTAGGTCTTCTCGCTCAAGCTACCAGTAGCTCCTCAGTTAGTTCCTTAAACACTGTACCTTATGCTGGGCGTGGTGACTCACGCCTGTAATCCTAGTACTCTGGGAGGCCAAGGCAGATGGATTGTTTGAGCTCATGACTTCGAGACCAGCCTAAGCAAATAAGCGAGACCCCCTCTCTACTAAAAATAGAAAAACTGAGGCAAGAGTATCGCTTGAGCCCAAGTTGGAGGTTGCTGTGAGCTATAACACCATGGTGTTCTACCCAGGGTGACAACTTGAGACTTTGTCTCTAAAAGAAAAAAAAAATACCGTGCTTTAGTCATTGATCTGATCATTGCTGCGTCACCGTCATGTTCGTGTTTGTTTCTTAATCATTGTCCCTCTGCTGTTGACCGTTGCATTCATAGCAGATGCTGCCTTTCTGATTAGCAGCAGTGTCCCTAACCTGGCTAATTGGCACACTTCCTCTGAGTCTGCACAGCATGACACTTGGCTGAGATGGAAGACTTTAGGGTTCACAGACTGCCATTCCTAAGGTTTCGTTACCCCATGTTTGATCCAGCAAATCGAGTTGATAAATCCAGTTAATAAGAAACTTAGCTTTCTCCTAAGTTGCTTAAATTCTTTGGAAAGAATGTCTTTATTATTCTGATTTCACTTAGCAAAATCCTCTTCTGGTTGCTTTGTCAAAATTAGGAATGTTAATACTAGGTGACTTTTATAAAATTGTGGTTAGAGAAATTTTTTTAATGTTTGAAAAGTTGTGGTTATTTTTATATTTACCTTGTTAATCACTAAATATTTTTATTCTATTGTTTTTCAGATACCAGAGTAAAAGGATGGTTTCTTCTGGACAATTACATACCTACATTTATCTGTTCCATCATATATTTACTAATTGTATGGCTGGGACCAAAATACATGAAGAATAGACAGCCGTTCTCTTGCCGGGGTATTTTAGTGGTGTATAACCTGGGACTCACGTTGCTGTCTCTCTACATGTTCTGTGAGGTAGGTCAAAGGTTAACACAGCCTTCTTCTTACTTAAATATTGCTGTCCTAAACTGTATTCCTAAATGAGGAAAGGCAGCCACTTGGGGAGGGGGTTGAACTGGATGGGCAAGTATGTTAATGCATTTTGAGTATGTTTTAAAATCAGTTTTCCAAAATGTCAGGAGTTGTTTATACAGACAGATATGCCTGGAATATCTAAAATAGAAGCCTTTGCTATTGATTCTTTTGTTATTTATGTTTCAGAGGGTATTCAGAATTAAAATATTTTCAAAAATACTCTCATGCAAGCAAAATGCAGAGTGGAAAATTAACAAAATGTAAAAAGCATATGCAAGCATTTTATTAAACATTTAATGAGCACTTGCTTCTTTCTTGTTCGGAGGTGGGGGAGGAAGGAAGTGGGCAATAGTTGGTACTTGGTGTGTTTTGTGGCTCCTCAGCTTCTCTTTCCTGATCTGATAACTTGTCAAATCTCACAGTTTTTTTAAAAGCTAAGAAGAACGGCTAGTGAGATCTGCATTTAGGATTCAAATGGTCTGTATGAATTCAGGCTCAATTATTTCTTTGACACGACTGGAAAATCAAATTTGGTTATCTCAAAAGCAAATGTTACTGCTTAAATAAAAATGAAAGGCAAATTGGAATCAACATTTTAGTTATCCCTACTTTGTAAGGGATAATACTATAACCTTTAAAGCTAAAAGGGAGAGGAAAGCTGCAACTTGTATGTATTTGGGGGGGGGAAGGACTACACACTTTTCAGGCTTACACAAATCTATTGCTTATTGCTAAGTCCTTTGGGGTAGAGAATTAAGCCATATATAAAACAAACATTCAGGTACTCCTCTTTAGGTTTTCAACCTTTGATCATGGCCTTAATTCTCCAAGAAGTAGTAAAGAAAAGAATAGAGGGGGTAGAAAAGAGGAGAAATCAATGTGCATCTTAAAATTGGTGTTAAGAGAGAAAAAGGAGTTCTCTATCAGCCTCAGCTGTAGTGGTGTCTCTGTGGCTGCATGTGGTGGTATGCATGAGTGTGGACACGCCCAGGTGTATGAGCCAGTGGTAAGCACTATATTTGAGTATCAAAGGTGTTGTACCTATGATAGATCTGTGTCTGGTTCTCCCATGCGTGTTTCATAAACCAAGGTATAGATTTTATGGCTAGAATGGTAGATGCTACCAGCATTACTTTTATGCTTAGAAATGCTTACAACTCCTTTCTTGCTTTTTTTCTGTCCTATTCTAGAATGAAGGCAGTGTAATTAGCCTCCAGGATGGAGATTGCAGGACTGGAGGCAGGGGAAGTGCACAGGAGTGACTCCTGGCCCCAGCACTGTCCACGTCTCTCAGTGTTCAAGGGACAAGGGACAAAACCTCAGCAAGCTGGCAGGTGTTTTTTAGAGTGAGCTATTTACATACCCATAATTGATAGACAATAGAGTTATTTCTTTAAGAAAACTTTCATAGAGTTTATGTTATGTTCTAGAGAAAAATATTTAAAGTGATTAATTCTTAGAGAAATTAAGCATTTGCCTTATATGCTTTTCCAGAGAAATAGCTACAACTTCATAATTTAACTTCTCTTAAACAGATAATTCCCTGCTAAAGAGGGGAAGAAAATTGCCATATAAATTGCTGCCATCTTCATCTGAGTGGAGTTAAAAGGTTCTGAACACACTGTATAAAGTATAGGCTTCTTTCTGACAGCTTGGTAAGAACAATAGATGACTTCAAGCCATGTCTAAGGACTGAATATAGAGATTTAAGAAGCAAACAGAGGAGAAAAATCGCATTTCTGATTCATAATTTAGAGTGTGTACGGGGTACTAGATAAGGAGGTAATCATTGCTTAAAGTAAATCAAGTTTATAAAAATACACTAAAACCTCCATTGCTGACACCTCCCTACACTGACTGCTTCCTTAAGTTGATCTCATTTTTGTAGACCAGATACGCACCAGCTGTACGTATCGGTATAGTAGGCCATGTTCCTTCCATTGACCCCTTCCATATGTTGACCAGTTTGTTACAGTTCCTTGGGTGGTGAGCTTACAGAGGTTCTATTGCAGATCCAGATCAGCTGTATCGGAGTCGAAAATAAGGCCCCGGTGCTCCAATGTAGATGATATTTACATTTGGTTTTTGTCTGACTTTTTTCCCCTGTGTTTATATAAACCTATCAGTTATACATTTATAATGTGTCCTTTGTCAGGTTTTGAATTTCATTTTAGGTACAGATTTTTCGTTTTCTGTTAATATTGAGCATTTCTACTCCTTTGAATACTAAGATGCAGAAGAGCAGGCAACCATGAGATTTTACAGCAGAGTGAACTGAAGAAATTGTGAGGCTCAGTGGGTTGGGCCCCTCATTTTAGAGAACTGTCCTAGCAGTTGGAGTCATTTGCCCATGATCACACACCTGTGCATGGGCTTTCTTACCTGTATTTACCCTTCTGTTTATCTGCATATTTGCGTCTATAAAGAAGTTTTTAAATAAGTCGTCGGGGCCAGGCAGGGCCAGGCAAGGCCAGGCGTGGTGGCTCATGTCTGTAATTCCAGCACTCTGGGAGATCGAGGCTGGTGGATTGCTTGAGCTCACAAGTTGGAGAGTGTAATTAGTCTCTAAATTCGTCTCTAAAAATAGCCAGGCATTGTGGTGGCCATAGCTACTCAGGAGGCTGTAATCCTCGCTACTCGGGAGGCTGAGGCTTGAACCCAAGAGTTTGAGGTAGCTGTGAGCTATGACACCACCACACTCTACCCAGGGCAAGAAAGTGAGACTCTGTCTCAATAAATAAATAATAAAGTAGTCATTGGTATTGTTGTTTATTTCTGTGGTATAAATTTGGAACCGCCTTGGGCAAGCTCTGGATTAATACAAATAAAATTAACTGTCAGTTAAAGGAAACAGGAAGAAGTCTTGAAAGAAAAGAAACAGGAAAGAAATGAGACTGGCGCCTGTAGTTCAGTGGCTAAGGCACCAGCCACATACACTGGAGCTGGTGGGTTCAAACCCAGCCTGGGCCTGCCAAACGACAATGACAACTACAACCAAAAAATAGCGGGCGTTGTGGCGGGCACCTGTAGTCCCAGCTACTTGGGAGGCTGAGGCAAGAGAATTGCTTAAGCCCAAGAGTTTGAGGTTGCTGTGAGCTGTGACGCTACAGCACTCTACCCAGGGCGACAGCTTGAGACTCTGTCTCACAAAAAAAAAAAAAGAAAGAAAGAAAGAAATGAAAGGGGAGTCACCAAAATATTAAGTTACTAGAAAGAAAATAACTGAATCCTAATTTTAAAACTGTGAAACTGAGTTTAAAATGTAGAATATAGATTTGTTCATAGTTTGTACAATTCGGTAGGGGGGCAAAGAGAAGAGGTATTACTTCTAATCATCTCATTAATTTAGTGTTTATGATCCTCGATTTGAAGTATATTTGAGTAGTAGGATGTTTTAGTTTGAAACTACAGGACTTTTAAGTCATAAAGTTTTGAAATTACAGGACTTTTAGCTTTTTGTTACTGTATTCGGGGTTGTCTATCAGAGTCCACAGTGAAGGTTTAGAAATAAAACTCCCAAGTTGTAAGAGAGAAGGGCATTAGTTTTTTTTTTTTTTTTGAGACAGAGTCTCCCTATGTCACCCTCAGTAGAGTGCTGTGGTGTCACAACTCACAGCAACCTCAAACTCTGGGGCTTAAGTGATTCTCTTGCCTCAGGCTTCCATGTAGCTGGGACTATAGGTACACATCACAACGCCCAGCTATTTTTTTGTTGCAGTTGTCATTGTTTTAGCAGGCCTGGGCCATGTTCGAATCTGCCAGCCTTAGTGTATGTGGCCAGTGCCCTACCCATTGAGCTATGAGTGCCACCTGCAACCATAAGTCTTAAAGGCCTTTCTACCCCACGAGATTCAGGGCATATTTCATCTGAATAGAAGACTTTTTTTGGGTGGTGCCTATGGCTCAGTGGGTAGGTCGCTGGTCCCATATACCGAGGGTGGCGGGTACCTGTAGTCCCAGCTTCTCTGGAGGCTGAGGCAAGAGGATCATTTAAGTCCAGGAGGTGGAGGTTGCTGTGAGCTGTGTGATGCCACGACACTCTACCAAGGGCGATAAAGTGAGACTCTGTCTCTACAAAAAAAAAAAAAGAAGAAGAAGTCTGTTTTTTCAAAATTATCCATGTGTCTTTCTTCTTGTCCCCAACCCCCAAATTCCCACAACCTCTGACTACATAGTGCCAAACTCTGTCTTTTCATCATTCTATGTTACCTGTCCTAGCTGGACAACCATGTTTCCCCCACCTATTCAGCAAGCTGTCAAAACCCTTTGATCTTTGTTAGGGTATATAGGTATTCTGATTTAGGCAGCTCTGTCCTGACATGGAATATTTCTGCTCTGCTCCCACTGTGCTTCTGACCTCTTAAACCAGGGGTCCTCAAACTTTTTAAACAGAGGGCCAGTTCACTGTCTCTCAGACCGTTGGAGGGCCAGACTGTGGGCCCCGGGACAAGTTGTCTGCTAAGTAGGACAGGCAGCATCAGCAAAAACACCCGGCGGGCCGTATAAGTGTCCTGGGTGGGCCACAGTTTGAGGACGCCTGTAACCCTAGGCAGAGAGGATCTAATTGTGTGGTTGGTTACAGTCCACAAAGAAGCATCCTTGCTTACCGACCTGTGCCTCACACACTGATCCTTGGACTCAGCAGCAGCTGCCGGGGAAGCAGGGTGAGTGCTGTGTAGTGCACATGGCTTTGAACACCCCAGGGACATGGTATCACAGAAAGGACTGCTATCTCCTTTCCTGGGAGGAAGCTCTCTGGCCTTTCTTAGCCCGTCCTTCAGGCTTCGCTCTGCTCAGACTCCACCAACATCAGGCTCTTTCATTCTTCTGAGCCTCCTCCCCCTGAAACTCCCTCTTCCTTTCAGACCTGAGCCCGCCTCTGCTGCAGAATCTCACTTTTGAGGGCACTGCACAAGATCCAGTTACTCTCTGAAAGTCATGAGAGTCGGAGGGGGAGGACTCAGCTCTAGAGCAGTGATTTTTTTCTTCTTCCCCACAGGCCTTTTTGGCCTCCCTTTTGTTTACCAAGAATATGACACATTCCCTTTGATTTAAAAGCTCCTACGATGTGTCCTCGACAACGATGTGTCCTCGACATTCCATCCCTCCACCATACACAGGTCCCTGGCTTCCAAGAATAAAAAGGTCTCTTCCCCATCTTTTCCTTCGCATTGTTACTATGGCTGATTGGGTAGGAAAAAAGCAAATGCCAGAACCAGGTTCTTAGCACAGACAAGATTATTTTTTGAGGATCTGTGTGTGTTTCTTTCCTCGCAGTTAAGAGAGCTGTATAGTAAACAGTGTGAGAATTACTCAAATATTCAGAACATTTAAAATGTCATTTAAAAAAAATTGATAGCTGGATAGATGTATCTGAGTTGGCATAAATCCATACTTATTCTTTTTTCCTTTTTGCAATTTTTATTTGAACTTGTAATTTTGGAACCATTTCAAAATATGTAAGATAAACTCATATATAGATGATACTGTGTACCTCACAATGTTGACATTTTATTGGTTTGATTTTTGTTTGTTTTAATATGAAAACATTGCAGAAATCCATCTAAAGTGCAACCCCTACTGAGACATGATGTCCTTATAAAGTTCATGTGCTTTTTTTCCCTCTAGGTATATTTTCATACTTTTACTACAAGCGTATGTATATGTGACAGTATATACTATATTCTGAAACAAGTTTATTTAATTGACATGAATGGTATACTAATTATACCATTTGCATATCCACATCTTCCACTAAAGTCTGAAATCCCTCAGAGTCATCCATGGTTGGAATCAACTTTTTCCATCCTCTGTTAATGTGGATATTTTCACCACCTCCCATGCATCATAAATGCTCTTAACACATTGACAGTCATGTCAGAAAAAATTTTTTGCCCTTGGGGTCATGATGTTTTTTATTGGGTCAATGAACGTAGGTCGAGAGACATGTGAGTTGTATTTGCTTCACAAGGCCCAGGGCTCAAAACTAGCCTAAGTTAAACACAACTGATATGGCAGTTAATGGCATATAGAATGTGGGGAATCCTTTTTGGAAGGTCTTCAGTTTGCCCAGATCCATTAGAAGAATCACTGTAGTAGCTATAGCTTTACAAAATGTATTTCATAAATAATAAGGCTTGAAATTGAAATTACTTCTTGATCCCTGGATGTTATGTTAGCAGGCGTGAAAACAACATTAATCTCCTTGTATATCTCCATCAGAAATCTTTGGTGACCAGGTTCGCTATCAGTGAGCAGTAATATTTTGAAAGAAATCTTTGTTTCTGAGCAGTAGATTTCAGGACTGGGCTTAAAATATTTAGTAAACCATGCTATAAACACATGTGCTATCATCCAGCCTTGGTTATTCCATGTATAGAGCACAAAGTAGATTTTGCATAATTTTTAAGGATCCAGGAGGTTCGGAATGGCAATTGAGCATTGTCTTCCAGCTTTAAGTCACGAACTTTTAAGTCACATCTCTAGCTGTGCACGTCCTAGATGGCGTCTTCTCCCAGTAGAAGCCCGTTGTGTCTGGTTGAAAATCTGGTTTAGTGCAGCCATCTTCAATGCTCTCAGCTGGTTCTTCTGGGTGACTTTTTTGTTTTTTTTGTTTTTTTTTTGAGACAGAGCCTCAAGCTGTCACCCTGGTTAGAGTACCATGGTGTCACAGCTCACAGCAACCTCCCAACTCCTAGGCTTAAGCAATTCTCTTGCCTCAGCCTCCCAAGTAGCTGGGACTACAGGCGCCTGTCACAACGCTCCGCTATTTTTGGGTTGTAGTTGTCATTGTTGTTTGGCAGGCCCAGGCTAGATTCGAACCCACCAGCTCTGGTGTTTGTGGCTGATGCGTTAGCTGCTTGAGCTATAGACGCCAAGCCTCTTCTGGCTGAGTGTTGCTGTAGCTTCACTGTCAGCACGTCCTGCTTTGCCTTGCACTTTTGTGTTATAGAGATGGCTTCTCTTCTTAACTTCATAACCAACCAGAGGGTGCCAGCTTCAGACTTTGTTTTGCAGCTTCCTCACTTCTCTCAGCCTTTATAGAATTGAAGAGAGTTAGGGCTTGGGCTTAAGGAAATGTTGTGGCTGGTTTGCTCTTCCCCCCAGACCACTCACACTTTCTACATAGTAGCAGTAAGCTGTTGTGCTTTGATACCATTTGTGTGTTAACTGCAGTAGCACTTTTGACTTCCTGTAGGAGCGTGTCCTTTGCCTTCACATTTGGCTCACTTGATTGGTACAAGAGCTTTAGCTTTGGGTCTGTCTTGGATTTCCATATGCCTTCTCCACTAAACTTACTCATTTCTACCATTTTATTTATTTACTGTTTTTTGAGACAGACTCTCACCATGTCACCCTCGTTAAAGTGCTGTGGTGTCACAGCTCACAGAAACCTCAAACTCTTGAGCTTAAGCAATTCTCTTGCCTCAGCCTCCCAAGTACCTGGGACTGCAAGCGCCTGCCACAACACCCGGCTATTTTGTTCTTGTTGTTGCAGTTATCATTGTTGTTTAGCTGGCCCCAACCAGGTTCAAACCCACCACCCTCAGTGCATGTGACTGGCGCCGTAACCACTGTGCTAGAGTGCCAAGCCTACCATTTGATTTAAAGTGAGAGACAAGCAACTCTTCCTTTCCCTTCAATATTGAAGGTTCATTGTGGAGTTATGCCAGTTGGTACACTTGTCAGAATACCACATGACATTTATCAATTAAATTTGCTGTCTCATACGGCATAGTTTGTAGCTCCCAAAACAATTACTACAGTGGCATCAAAGGTTGTTGAACACAGATCACCAGTTATAGATTTTGTAATAATAAAAAAGTTTGAAATATTGCAAGAATTTTCAAAATGTCACACAAACATACAAAATGAGCACATGCTATTGGGAAAAATGGTGCCAATAGACTTGTTCAGTGCAGGGCTACCACAAACCTCAATTAAAAAAAAAATATATACACACACACACACACACACACACACACACACAGCGTAATAAACCCAATTATGTAATGCCATTATGCAAGCGTGATTCCTGTGGTTTTTCTTTCGCTTCTTTTTTTAAAGAGTCTTGGTCTCACTTTTTCACCCAGGCTGAGTACGGTGATGTGATCACCACTCACTGCAACTCCAAACACCTGAGCGCAACTGATCCTCCTGCCTCAGCCTCCCAGGTACCTGGACTATAGACACACGTCCAGCTGATGTTCTTTGATTTTTTTTAGTGATAAGGTCTTGGTAATGTTGCCCAGGCTGATCTCCCAACTCCTGGACTCAAGGATTCCTCCCATCTTGGCCTCCCAAAGTGCTGAGATTACAGACAGGAGCCACTGTGTCTGGCCTGTCACCTTTTGTGTGTATATGTCAAGGTTTTTGCTCTTTTTCCTTTGTTCTTATGTTGAAGTTTTATATTTTTATTGGATTTGTGTGTGTGTTTTTTTTTACAGGTTAATGTGAGAGGACACACAGCTAGGTTACAAAGTTGCATTTGTTAGGTAGAGTGTCTCACACCCAAGAGATGTGCCATGTATCCTTACTTTGTGCCCATTAAGTGGGAACACACCAATCCCCCTCCCTCTTCCCTATATTATCATTTTTATTTTACCAATTTGAAAATTACTCATTCCATATTTGAGTGATTACCCATAAATTTTTACCATGCATCTTTGACTTAAAAGTCTCAAGTGAATCGGCATTTGTATTCTTCTGAACAATGTAAGGATCATAGAAAAATTCAGTTCTCATCTCTGTCTTCCCTGTTAATCTATGAAATCCATTCTTTTAGGTTCAGTTTTTTTCTTCTTCTGAAGTAGTTCTTACTGTGAGCAGCAATCTCTCATTTTCCATTTGAGTGTCATTCTGTTTGCTTTGCCCGTGAATAATATTTTAGCAGGGTTTGGAAGTCTAGGTTAACACTTACATTTCCTCAGCACTTTGAAGACTTATTCTAGAGAAGTGTGTAGTGGTCCCACTTTTGTTCATTTGCAGGTAATCTTTTTCTTTCCAGGTACTTTAAAATGTTTTCATTCTTCGAATTCTCTCATACTTTCTTCAGCTGTGTCTAATCTACTGTTTCATCCATCTATTGCATCTTGAATTTAAATGACCATATATCTCTTATTTCTGTATATATCTCACTATTTCTTTTTTATCGAGGCATTGGTTTTCTTCCCCCATGATAGAGGTGTATAAATGATCTCTGAACTTAGCCAATGGTATATTGCTTTTTAATGTATTCCTTTAAAAGTTTTCTCACATCCATTTTTTGTGAGGTCATGCCTCTGGAATAATCAATTTTTTTTTTTTGGAGACAGAGTCTCACTTTGTCATCCTTGGTATAGTGCCATGGTGTCATAGCTCACAGCAACCTCAAACTCCTGGGCTAAACTGATCCTCTTGC